CTACAACTCCATCCTGACCACCCACACCACCCTGGAGCACTCAGATTGTGCCTTCATGGTGGACAACGAGGCCATCTACGACATCTGTCGCCGCAACCTGGACATCGAGCGCCCGACTTACACCAACCTCAACCGCCTCATCGGCCAGATCGTCTCCTCCATCACAGCCTCCCTGCGCTTTGACGGTGCCCTCAACGTGGACCTGACGGAGTTCCAGACGAACCTGGTGCCCTACCCTCGCATCCACTTCCCCCTGGCCACCTATGCACCAGTCATCTCTGCAGAGAAGGCCTACCACGAGCAGCTGTCGGTGGCAGAGATCACCAACGCCTGCTTTGAGCCTGCCAACCAGATGGTGAAGTGTGATCCCCGCCACGGCAAGTACATGGCCTGCTGCCTGCTGTACCGTGGAGATGTGGTGCCCAAGGACGTCAACGCTGCCATCGCTACCATCAAGACCAAGCGCACCATCCAGTTCGTGGACTGGTGCCCCACGGGCTTCAAGGTCGGTATCAACTACCAGCCCCCCACTGTGGTGCCCGGGGGTGACCTGGCCAAGGTGCAGCGTGCCGTGTGCATGCTGAGCAACACGACCGCCATCGCTGAGGCCTGGGCCCGCCTGGACCACAAATTCGACCTGATGTATGCCAAGAGGGCATTTGTGCACTGGTACGTGGGCGAGGGCATGGAGGAGGGTGAGTTCTCCGAGGCCCGGGAGGATATGGCTGCCCTGGAGAAGGATTACGAGGAGGTGGGCATGGATAGTGTGGAGGGGGAGGGAGAAGAGGAGGAGGGGGACGAATACTAACAGAATCCTTTGTGTCTGTCCTAAATAAAGTGCTGTGGCCTCATTGTCTCCCAAATGTCTTTTTCTCTTGGGAAAACCACTGGGGGTGGGTTCCTTCATAAGAGATAAGAAGTATCTTAGACTGGGTTCTCCAGAAAGCAGATCTGACTTCAGATTTCATTCCAGGGAGCAGAATGAGGGCTGTGGTGGGTAAAGCAGAGAAGGAGGGAGAATTCATCCTGGAGAGGACGTAGAGGGATGAATGGCATCTTAGAAACATTCCTGGGGAGATTGGGCAGGAGATGAGGCGAGGGTGGGGAATTTCTACACTGGCTCCTTTCTCGCCTTGGTTAAACCTTCCCTGCATCAAGCATTAACTTGCCTGTACTTCCAGATTGCACACACTTTGGTTGCAGGGTCAACAGGGAAGCCCTGGGGGCAGGAGGTGAGGCGCTGTGAAGTTGTGAAGCTGGTCTGAGCCATGCAGGGCTGCAACAAGAGCCTGGTTGAGGCCAGGGGATTTGACATGGTGTCTGATAGAGCTGGTGCTCACTAGGGCCCCTCCTGTCCTCTTCAGGCAGGAGGTTTGAGTGAAGAGAGGTAGAGAGTCCAGAAGCTGGCATTAAGGCAGAATGGTGGCACAGCGGCAGCAACCGAGGAGCAATGGCTGGGGGTCAAGGGGAGCCTACCTCCCTGAAATCACTATCACACTCATCACTTTTCGATAAAGACAAACGACTTGTCTTCAAACCTATGCCACAAGTACAACTTCCAACTGGACAGCTGCCCCAAAATCCTTGTGGGTAGATTTTCTGTAACGCCTTCTGGGCTAGAGGGATGGTTTGACCACTGGAGGTCTAGAACTAGGGCAGTCCCCACCCCCACTCCAGCCGCAGAGACGCAGTGCCTAGTGTTGTCCTTGGCACTGTCCCCCCTGCAGCCTCCCTTTCCCAGGCTTGGATGCTGGCAAGGAAATCCCAAAGTCAGCAAAGCCAGGAAGCTGCTATCACCCTTAGGGCTGGAAGAGTCAAGGTATGAGATGGTGATGCCAGAGCTTTGGAGCTGAGATCACCAGGTGAGAGCTGGAGCCATAGCAGAGCTAACCAGAGGGAGCAAGAGGGGGGGAGGGGGGAGGGGTGTTTGTCGGGGTCTTCCCTGGTGGACTGAGATGGTAAAGAATCCACCTGCAATGCAGGAGACATGGGTTTGATCCCTGGGTCAGGAAGATACCCTGGAGAAGGGAATAACTACCCACTCCAGTATTCTTGCCTGGAGAATTCCATGGACAGAGGAGCCTGGCGGACTACAATCCATGGGGTTGCAAAGAGTAGGACATGACTGAGCAAATAACACTATACTATACCAGAGCCATGCAGGAGACACAGCATCACCTGAGTCACTTTCTGATTTTGAGAGAAGGAGAAATAAACTGGCTTCGCCTTTCCTTACACCCTCAATCTCCAGCCAGTGGGAACCACTGGCTGAACCGAGACAGACACTAGTTGGTAAGAGAGGACCCAGGGAAAGGGGGGGTGCAGCCTGCGAGATATAAAGCAGGGCAGGAAAGGTGGGTGATTCTCAGAAGGAGGTGAATAAAACACGTACCTCCACACACCTGCATCTGAGCCTAGCCCAGGAGGCCACTCAGGTAAAACTGGAAAGGGAGTGACTCCTCCCCTTCCCCATATGGTCCCCCTCACCTGTCCCTGTCACTCTTGTCTCTTGTCTCGATAATTATTTTGTAATTAGAGGATGGAGCGGCGGCACCACAATGGTGAGAAGTTTAGAGGAGAAAACAGGCACACCCAGGCCGACAGCTTCCTCCCTCTATTTTGCAATGATTTGCTCAGAGACAGAAAGGATTCTCAGTGCCGCTCTGAGGATTTCAGCTGACAGGTAAGCTCTGTCCTGGGAAGACAGAGGCCTGCAATTGTGTGCATACTTGTGCCACGGGCTTCGGAGAATCATTTAATTATTCTGAAACCTATTTTGGCTGAATAGCTAGCTCAGCTATATCCTCCAACCTGTTTTTATTGATTTTTTTTCTCCTCTAAAAGGGCTGAATTTCAAGTCTCTATCCTGTGTCTTTCTATCAACTGGATTCAAACTTGGGGAAGGAAGAGGGATTATTTGAGGAGCTTTTAAAACCCCAGAAAAATTGCTGTTGTTTATTAAGCACCTACTATATACTAAGCCCTACATTCATCCTACCCTCTTGTCTTTTTAATTAATAAATTTTTATTGGCCGCCCCTCAAGGCTTACGGGATCTTAGTTCCCTGAGCAGGGATCAAACCTGTGCCCCTGCAGTAGAAGCATGGAATTCCAACCATGGGATCACCAGGGAATGCCCATACTCCCTTCTTTAATCCTGAGGTAAATATAATTATTGTACCCACTGGACTGGAAGGTCCCTGGGAATAAGGCCTATTCTTCCCTCAGGATCCAGAATGCTGCCTGACACATATTAGATTCTCAAATCTGTTTAATGAATTCCTCTTTTATAGATGTGGTGACAGAGGCTTGGAGAAGTCACGTGACTTGCACAAGGCTACTCAGTGAGGAAGTGGAGTGGGGATTGAAACCCGGGTCAGTCTGGCCAAAACTGCTGCCTTCTCTTCCTCGGTGTTCTCTCCTCTGGCCTGCAGTAGATCGGGGTACCCCTCCAGACGTCACCTCGTCTAGACTTGCCGGTCCCAGGTGCCCAGACGGTGACTCAGTTGCCTCAAAGGCAGGGAGGGGGTGACGCTTGACACACCCCTGCCCAGGCACTGTGGGAGAGGGCGTGGGGGCGGGGGGGGGGGGGGACCGGTACAGGGACCCAGCTGCCGGGGCTGAACAAGGGCCAAGGCCTTTGTCTCTTGGGCCAAGCTTCAAACAGTCCCCACAACTGACCTCCAATAGGTGAGGGAAGGCCCTGAGAAAGGTGAGGTCTTCACCTGCCAACATGGCTGGGCATCCACAGAGGTGGCCGGGCTCCCCTCCTGATGGCTGTACCAGCCAGCCCACTCTGGGCAGTTGGAGGACCACCTCCTCTCGGATCCGGTGAGGCCTCCCAGTTAGTAACTCTGTGGGCAAGCCCTGGCAGACCTAGGTTGGACTGGGTGTGGGCGTGGGAGGTGGCAACCCAGATCTCCACGGGGTAGCTGGAAGCGACCATCCAGCCAGGCTCCTGAGGACTTCCTCAGTGTAGGGGAATGCTTTCATCCCTGAGGCTTCTAAAGACAGGGTACAATTACCTCCTGCGTGCAGACACAAGAGACAGAGCCCCAACTTTGGATTCCACCCAACACATTTCCTCCCTCGCCTCTGATGTGTCAGGAACATGCCTGCCTCCAAAGCTGCATTCCCTTCTAGCCTCCCGCCCCCCCGCTTGCCTCACTGTTGCCATTCCTTCCAGTTTAGGTCACAGTCACCCAGAACCCGTCCAGCTCTGAGATCTCTCCTTCCTCTAAAGTCTCTCTCTTCCGTCTCTATCACTCATTCAATACTTGGCATGGACCGCCTTGTAGCGTGGCACTCAGCTTCTTTCTGATATCCCATTTCCCCAACTAGATTTTAAAAGATTACATGTGTATTTGACCAGTTATTATGTACACACACTTCAGAATTCAAAAGGTACCAAAGAGATTTACAAACAGCAAAAATAAGTCCCCTTCATTTATTCCCCTCTTGGCAGCCATCATTGTTCATGCTTTTTGTTGTTACAGTATTTCCTTCCAGACTGCTGAAGTATGCACGCTAATGTATACTAATGTGTGCACACGTTTAAATATACTTTGCTCTACATCTTGTTTTTTCACTTAACAATAACATAGCATTACATATAGATATGCCTCATTCTTTTGGTGACAATATAGTATTCCATAGTGCACTGTATCATTGCTTATTTAACCAGTCTGCTATTAATGATGTAGTATTTAGGTTATTTCTAATTCTTTGCTATTGAAAAGAATGCTGCAACACTTGCACATACTTCTTTGCATATATGTACAACTACAGATTACTATAATTGGCATTACTGGGTCAAAGGGCACACACCTTTAATTTTGATATATACCTCATATTGCTCTCTTTAAAAGTTATATCCAGGCAGTGTCAGGATATTCGCCGCTTCATCCGCCGCCGATCTCCCTTCACGTCGGCCATCCAGGCTCGGGGGCCCTGCGTCCTGGGAGTTTCTCCTGGCTCCTGCGTGGCGCGGGGTGAGCCGACATGGGCGCCTACAAGTGCATCCAGGAGCTGTGGAGGAAGAAGCAGTCGGACTTGATGCGCTTCCTCCTGCGGGTGCGCTGCTGGCAATACCGCCAGCTCTCGACGCTGCACCGCGCCCCGCGCCCCACCAGGCCCGACCAAGGCGCGCGGGCTGGGCTACAAGGCCAAGCAAGGCTATGTCATATACCAGATCCGTGTGCGCCGCGGGGGCCGCAAACGCCCCGTTCCTAAGGGTGCCACCTACGGCAAGCCTGTCCACCATGGTGTCAACCAGCTCAAGTTTGCTCGAAGCCTGCAGTCGGTTGCGGAGGAGCGCGCTGGCCGCCACTGTGGGGCCCTGAGGGTCCTGAATTCCTACCGGGTTGAAGATTCTACATACAAATTCTTTTAGGTTATCCTCATTGATCCCTTCCATAAAGCCATCAGAAGAAACCCTGACACCCAGTGGATCACCAAACCAGTCCACAAGCACAGGGGGATGCGGGGCTGACGTCTGCAGGCAGGAAGAGCCGCGGCCGGGGCAAGGGCCACAAGTTCCAGCACACTATCCGTGGCTCTCGTCGTGCGGCTTGGAGAAGGCGCAGTACTCTCCAGCTCCACCGCTGCCGCTAATATACGTAATGTTTGTAAAGTTCTTATCTAATAAACAATTTAGGACGTTCTTGTATGAAAAAATAAAAATGAAAAAATAAAAGTTATATCCAGGGGCGGGGATGGGGGAGCGGGGAAAACAGGAGGGGAGGGTGGGGGGAGGAGGAGAGGGTGGGGGGAGGGGGTTAGGTGTCTATTGAGTAGACGGCAGTGGGGCACGAAAAGAGTGGAGGTCCTGGTGCCAAGCGGGTCAACGCTGCATTGGGCCTAGAGCGGGCAAGCGATTCCGAAGCTAAAGTAGCGAACTTTGCGAGTAAGAGTCGGCCGCTGAGATCCAGAGGGCCGCTGGGGGCAAAGCCCCTGCCTAGGCCCCGCGGAGATGTCCGGCTGCGGAGCTTGTACTTGAGGTGTGGCGGACGCGCGAATCTTTAGCTCATCGCTCATCTCGGCTCAAAGAGGCGCATCGTTTTCCTCTTTGTAGAGTGGAAATTGGAGTAGCTACTAAATGTATTAAAGGTAGTCCTCCGGAAATGACTGGGAGATGTTTCAGTCATAGCAACTTCAGTTTGGTTTTGAAAGTTGTTAACAAAGCATAGTTGATGTTTTTAAATTAAACACAACTACGATTTGTATCTTGAAACTTGTTTTGGCATTTGAATAAAACAAAAAGATTAAATGAAAAATAAATAAATAAATAAAAGTTATATCCAAATTATCCCTCCCACTACCAAAGGCTCACAGCCTTGCCCATATAACATACACTTTTTGATCTGCATCAATCATCTGAGAAGTGAAAGTATTTTCTTGCAGCTTTCCTTTATAATTCTCTTACTATGAATGAGATTGAAGTTTTTCATATTTAAAAGCCACTAGTTTCTCTTCTGTGAACTGTCTTTTCTGTGCCCTTTGCCCATTTAAAAATTACATTGCTCGTCTTTGCTCATAAGTTTGTTGGAATCCTTTGTGAACAAAGGAAATTAACCCTTTGCTTGCTAGATGTGTTCCACATAATTTCCCTCAGCTGTCATTTGTCTGTGCCCCAACAAGGTTTTCATCTTCCTCGGTACAGGGACTGAAACTTAAATCTCTTTATATTCCTAGTCTTAACATAATACCACATACATGGTAAGTGCTAGACAAAAGTCTGTTGAGATAAGAGAAGTAAAAAGAAAGAGATTTGAAAGACTTTGGAGTGACCTAAACTAACCAAGAAAAGCTATGACAAACCTAGACAACATGTTAAAAAGCAGAGACATTACTTTGCCAACAAAGGTCTGTCTAGTCAAAGTTGACTATAAGGAAAGCTGAGCACCGAAGAACTGATGCTTTTGAACTGTGGAGAAGACTCTTGAGAGTCTGTTGGACTACAAGGAGGTCAAACCAGTTAATCCTAAAGGAAATCAGTCCTGAATATTCACTGGAAGGACTGATGCTGAAGCTGACACTCCAATACTTCAGCCACCTGATTCGAAGAACTGACTCATTGGAAAAGACCCTGATGCTGGGAAAGATTGAAGGCAGGAGGAGAAGGGGAGGACAGAGGATGAGATGGTTGGATGGCATCACCGACTCGATGGACTTGAGTTTGAGCAAGCTCCAGGAGTTGGTGATGGACAGGAAAGCCTGGCATGCTGCAGTCCATGGGGTCGCAAAGAGTCAGACACGACTGAGTGACTGAACTGACTGAAACTAATCGATTCCTTCCTCTTACACCAAGGTCAGTCAAGACTGGAAACAGCAGAAACTCTGGAAAAATTAAAAAAAAAAAAACAAAAAACAGGAAATCATCCCCCCAATCCCACCCCCACCCAACACACACACACACACACACACACACACACACACATAACTGGAGAGATACTGGGTAGCATACAGAATCGACACAAGGGCTGTCAAACAAGACTCTGCAAACAGGTAGGCATCAAGGGAAGCTGGGCAGTCCTTCCCACAGTCCAGGTCAGGGCACGGGACAGGCTGCCTAAAAGGCCCCTGTCCCCTCCATGCACTGCAGAGAGGCCTCCTCCCACCGAGGCATTGAGGTTGACATTCCCTCCTCCAGACACTAGAGGCCACTGCTGGCTCTGCTGCCACCGCCGTAGAAATGAATTCTCAACTGCCCTGCTTCTCTGTGACTTGTTCCAGATTCGAGTCCCAGCTGGCCCTCCCGACCGGCAGAATGTCTGGCTTTTGCCTGCACCCTTGGAGCCAGGGGGTCTGGGAGAGCAAGAGTTGGGTTTTGTGACAGGTAGTGGCCTGCTTCCCATCAAAGCCAACGCAGTGGGAATTCGCCAGGTGTAGGTAGGTAGGAGGCTCAGAGACTGTGAGCAGCCAGGAAAGCTGGACAAATGCACTCCAGGCTCTGCTTTCATGTCTGGCTCAAGCCCTTCTCTTTGATGAAAGCATTTCTGGGTCACCCAGCCTAAAATACTGGATTCACATAACCATTATTGTTCAGCCTGTCATGATGCCAGAGTTTTTGTACTAAGAGCCTGTGCTGTGTGCTTAGTCGTGTCTGACTCTTTGCGACCCCATGGACTGTAACCTGCCAGCTCCTCTGTCTATGGAATTTTCCAGGCAAGAATACTGGAGTGGGTTGCCATTTCCTACTCCAGAGGATCTTCCCAACCCAGGGATCGAACCTGCATCTCTTGTGTCTCCTGCATTTGAAGGCGGATTCTTTCCCACTTGCACCGCCTATTCACTATACCTCATGTTACTTTCAAAGAGCCCTAGGCATTACCTGTATTTAGGGAGAAAAAAAAACAAGGCCTTAGAGGTTTTCCTGTCACACTGTAGCACCAGGTTGCAAACCCAGGTCTGTCTGTTTCCAAAGCCTTAGGGTTTCCCAGTGGTCTATACTGCTGGGATGGTATCTTAGGTTGGAGTTCTGTGAAGTTAGGGACTGGACCACAGTCTTCTTTTTACATCCTGGCAGTTCTACAATATATAAGATGCTCAATTAATGTTTGTGGATTGGCCTGGAGAGCAAGCAGAAACCAGTTTTAGAAGGTTCTCTCAATTTCCCATGAGGCCATGGGCTAGAAATCACTTTAAAGTGGAAGAGGTCTACTCAGGATCAGTTTGGAAAGAAAAACTTCGAATCTAGGGAATTTCCTCTCTTCTCCACCCCCCCCAAGTGTGTCAAAATTAACAACATGTTCCCATCTGTTCATTATTTAATCATCCAATGGATTATTTTTGAATCCCACTAACTGTCCTTAATACTGTAGTGAGAAAAAAAAAAAAAAAAAGGACATAATCTCTGCCCTCCGAAATTGACATCCTAGTGGGGGAGGTGAATGTCAGTCAAGTAAACAAATAAATGCTAATCTGTATCTCTGACCAGTGTAAGGAAAGATGCCAAGAACAGCTATGAGAGGCAGGTCTGACCTACTCAGGGAAATCGGGCGGCCTCTTTTGACGATGGGGCTGGAGCAGGATCTGGAGAAAGGGGAGGATTTAGGCCCCGAGGGGAGTCTGTGAGCCCTTGAGGTGGCGATTTTCCCCGGGTCATCGAGCCTGTCTGTAGGAAGGCCACAGAAGGGCCAGAAGCTGGGCGGCTTGTTTGTTGGCGAATGCGTCACGCCTGAATGGAACCTGCCGCTGTCTCCCAGGTCCCATCTGGGGATGACGTTGTCCTGGTGCAAGCCCAAAATAGCCGGCTCCGCCTCCATCTCCCGGCAGCCCCTGCAGCAGCACGCCCCCCCAGTCCACCCCCCAGGTGACAGGCCGAGCCGGCCTCCTCTGGGTCTCTAGTAGTTTCCGTGCCGCTGACGCACGATTGCGCGCACAGCTGGGCCGGCCGCGTCCTACGCAGCAGCCGCGAGCCGGGCAGCCGGTGCCAGACGGTTCCCGGAGGGGGGCAGGGGCGGGGCGCTGCAGGAGGCCAGGGACTCCCGGCGGAGGAGGTGCGGGCGGGGGGCCCCGGCCAGGCTGGGGGGCCCTTGGCGTTTGCGGGCTGCGATAGGGCGCCACGGCTCTGAGTCCCGAGATAGCTGGTGGCACCCGCCTGCCAGGGCCGATAAGGCTGCCGGAGGGAGTCTAGTCACCGGCCGCGAGGAGAGCCAGCGGGCTCTGCTGCCCCCTGCGGGGGTCTCCAGCCCCAGGGAGGGGCTGGTTCTCGGTTCTTTCGGGTCTGACTCTACCTTCTCTACCCCGCAGCCCCCAAGGAGGCCCGCCTGACGACTAACGAGTTGCCATGGCATCCTACTACGAGATCCTAGACGTACCGCGAAGTGCGTCCGCTGATGACATCAAAAAGGCGTAAGTGCCTCCGCCGTGCATCAGAAAGCCACTCACCCCACCCCACCCCATCACCACCACCCCGGGGCCCTTCAGAGGCAGTGCGGGGGGAGCCAGGTCCTTAGAAAGGACTGGGGTGGGGTGGGAGGCTTCCTCAGAGAATGACCCCCTGTAGGGAGGAAGGAAACCCCTGGATGAGTGGGGGAAATGTGTAGCGAGTTCTGTTTGGGAGCTGCAGTGTGGGCTCTTTTTCCAGTGCACCCTCCCATCCTTTCCCTCAGTCTCCACTCCTACCGCATCCCCCAGCCTCTTAAGTGTGGGCTTTCTGAACATGCAGTGCAGACATGCTCAAGCATTGAGACCAGGAGGGACCAGCGGCCCCCGTACCCTCCATGGACACATGTATTTACTGTCCTTTGCAACCCCAGACCAAGCTAGCCCCTGGGAGGGGTTAGAGCTGGGACTTTCTCACCCTCAGGTTATCATCTGCTGATATAAGTATGTAGTCCTAGCACTGGCTGCGGAGGGAAGAGAGAGGGACTCCCGTTAAAACACTGCTGCAGAGGCAGCCCTAGCAGCTGGGACTGACCCGGATCTGAGTGGTGGAAGGGCTATGGTGGGCTAACAGGAAATGGGTCATTGTGTTCCCTGGTGGGAAGTGCCTGCCTTTGTCCCCTGACCCTCCCCTCTGAACCCACTTCCTGCAGGTATAGGAAGAAGGCATTACAGTGGCACCCAGACAAGAACCCAGATAATAAAGAGTTTGCTGAGAAGAAATTCAAGGAGGTGGCCGAGGCGTATGAAGTGCTGTCCGACAGTAAGGGTCAGGGTCAGGGGTCAGGGCAGGCCAGCACCTGACACTCCCACTTCATGCCCATCACACTGCTTCCCAAAGCCACGCTGCCACCACCCTCGTCGCCTCCATGCCTCTTTCAACCTGGCAATTAAGTGCTCCTCTCTCACAGGGACTCTGGAATTCTTTGTTTCAATTCAAAGGAGCACCTACTGTGTGCCAAGCACCCTTTTATTCTTCCCCAGATTCCGTCTCAGTGTCTGTTCCCCAGGGTCTGGTAGTTGGTCCTAACAAGGGGAAGGAACCAAGGCAGGGAACCAAGGTGTGCTGAGCCTCCTCTGAGCCAGGCCTTAGGGCGTGTAATCTCCATGAGTCTTCATAGCCATTCTTCAAGACAGGATTTATCATCCCATTTGTCAGGCAAGAAAACTGAGGCTGAGAGAAGTGAGGTAACTTGCTCAAGGAATATGACTCCAGGTCTTTCATTCATTAACTCAAAAAATATTCACTGAGCACTTAAGGTACCAGGCTCTTGTTGGGCAGAGGAACAATGAAGGACAAACAGGCTATGTCCTTGTCCTGATGTGTTTATCACAGTCTGGTCAGGAAAGATGGACATTAACCAAGTAAACGCAGAGACAAGGTTATTCTAAAGGAATAATAGGGTGATGTGATAGGGAACAGGGAATCACAGGCACCAACTTTTGTTAGGTAGTCACAGAAGGTCTCTCTGTGACATTTAAGTTAAAGCCCTGATTAATGATAACACAGTAATTAATCATTAGTTAACATTTATGAAGCACTGAGTATCAGGGACTGTGCTAGGTAGTTTAGGTGGATTGTCTCATTTAATCCTTGCAGCTATGAGGTCGGTGCTATTATTGTGTCCATTTTACAGATGGGAAGGATCCCCTGTTTGAAGGGCCGAGCTGCTGCTAAAACCATGACCGTGTTTATGTCCCCTGTTCACCCTCCTGCCCCCCCAAGTGTCAGTCTCTGGACAGTCTTCAGAGGGGCCTAGCCTGAAAGGGGGGGAGGTCATCATCCCAGAGGGAGGGAGAAATGATCCAGTCTCTCTTTTCAGAGCATAAGCGTGAGATCTACGACCTCTATGGCCGGGAAGGGCTGACTGGGGCAGGTAGGTGGAGCGGGGACTCCCCGGGACAGAAGTGGGTCAGGGAGGAGCAGGGAGGCCAGTCTCCTGCAGTGGGTTCTTGCTCTCACTCCAGGCTCCTGCAGTCTCCAAGCCTCGGGTGGGGTCTCCTCACTCAGGGCAGGGTGCCTGCCTTAAGCCCTCTCCCCATCCTGCCTTTCTTCCAGGAACCGGCCCGTCTCGCGCAGAAGCTGGCAGTGGCGGTCCTGGCTTCACCTTCACCTTCCGCAGCCCAGAGGAGGTCTTCCGGGAGTTCTTCGGGAGCGGAGACCCTTTTGCAGAGCTCTTTGGTGAGTGGACTTGGTGGGCGTCTGACGAGCTGGACTTCTCCCTCCAGGCCTACCCTCCATCAGCCAGGAGCCCTAGGCAGGAGGCTGAGAGGGAAACAGAATTCCACAGACAGAAGACTTTGTGGGGGTGGATCCAAGTGAGCGCTGGGACAAAACCTCACACAGGCCAGAACCCGCGTGACCCTATAGTGACACTTCAGAGACTCGCCTTATGTAAATGATAACAACAGTAATTCATTGTGAAACCTCCACAGTGACAGTCATGCAAGCAAGACTCAGAACATCATGGGACAGTGATAATGCCATTACAGACAACAACAGACGCCACCTATTTGAATGGTTAAATGACCCCTGGGAGATAGATAACTTTATCCCCACTTAGAGATGAGAGAACTGAGGCACATTCAAGTAACTTGCTTAGAGTCACACAGCAGATGGCAGAGCGGAGACTTGTGTCTGCCTGACATCACACCAGGCTTATGCCTAAAACTGAAGGAGATGTTCCTTCGCTCCCCACCTCCCCGGCCCCTTCCTTTATTTACAGTGGCCACAATTGACCAGGGAACTTTTTCATATATAGTACTAAAGAGGAATTTGATTTATAAATCAGTCCAAACTGAAATGTACCCAGTTGCTTAGCAGCTTGTATTTCAAGACTTAAGATTAAGCAGGGTTCAGGGTCTCCTTTGGTGGTCCAGTGGCTAAGACTCCATGGTCCCAATGCACGGGACTGGGGTTCAATCCCTGGTCAGGGAACTAGATCCCACATGCCATAACTTACACCCAGTGCAGGCAGACAAATAAAATATTAAAAAAAAAAAAAAAAGAGCAGGGTTCACACATTCTGGGGGGCAGGGGGGGATCTTTTCACCAGATGATGGTTCATCTGCTTACTCATTGCAGATGACCTGGGCCCCTTCTCAGAGCTTCAGAACCGGGGTTCCCGACACTCAGGCCCTTTCTTCACCTTCTCTTCCTCCTTCCCTGGGCACTCTGGTAAGTGCCATTCTTTCCCATGCCTGCAAGCGTTTGGAGTCCTGGAGCCCCTCACCTCAGCTCGTTGTTCTCCCACGCCTTCTCTCTCATGTCTCCAGAGCCCTGCCTCACAGAGGTTCCCGGCCCTTTGTGAGCACAGCCTGTCTGCCGGGTGCAGCCTCTGTCTAATGCCCCCTCCTCTCCCACCCCCCTTGTCCCGATGCCAGATTTCTCCTCCTCGTCTTTCTCCTTCAGTCCTGGGGCTGGTGCTTTTCGTTCCATCTCTACATCCACCACCTTTGTCCAAGGACGCCGCATCACCACACGCAGGTGAGGGCTTCTTTTGGGACCATGCCGGGGCTGGGGGGTGAAGCGGTGGCGGGGGGGGGCTGCAGACAACTCGAGAGGCAGCTCCCTGAGGGCAGAGCCCAGTCCGTCCTGTCCAATGCAGCGAGGAGCCCAGACAGACTGCTGCAGGATTCAGGCCTGCCCACCCAGTAAACTGTGCTGTCTCCCACAGGATCATGGAGAACGGGCAGGAGCGGGTAGAAGTGGAGGAGGATGGACAGCTGAAGTCCATCACAATCAATGGTGAGGAACGGCCCAGCCACTTCCCTGGCAGGAAGCCCAAGGCCCCAGAGCCCCCTCCCCAATCTACTCCTCTCTGAACTCCCCTGGGCCAGGGAGGCCAGACTGGCAGGATTGGAGATGGTGATCCAGGGGAAGGGGAGGGGGCCAGGACACAGAATAGTGGGCTCTCAGAGGACCCGCTAGTCATCATTGTCATGAGTTGGGATGCCTGGAGTTTGCAGGGCACGCAACTATTTTTAAAGCCCTTGCACACACACTACTATATCCCCAATATTCTTACAAGAACCACGGGAAAGCAGGGCAGTTTGCACTTGCCCTACTTTTCATTTGCAGAGATGGAGCTTCAGTATAGCTAAATGGTCCTAACTCCCAAGTAGCCCCAGGCCCGAGGCTTTGACCTACTTAGTGAAGGGTGAAGCCAGGACTGAAACTACAAGATGCAGGGTTCCTGGGGCTGACCTCTTCCCACAATGCCACGTGGTACAGGATGGTCACCCTTTGGTGCCCGCTGACTCTGGGAGCTCTGTGTGCTAATAAGGGCACTTGGCAAGCTGTCTTATTTAATCACTGGAACCATTTGACAGTGTAGGCACTCTATGTCATTCCCATTTTATGGATGAGGAAAGGGAGGCTTAGGGAGGTTGAATAATTTGCCCAAAGAGACAGCTTATATCTGCTGAAGCTGAATAACTGGCCATGCTCATAATCATGCTAGGTTTCAAAATGCATGCACCCCCACTTCCAAAGGAGGGGCTGAGAGTGGCCAGAGTGCATGAGTCTCCCTGGCAGGCTTCCCACGGCCTGGATCAAAGGGCCTCATGGTGGCCGTGACCCCTGCAGGTATCCCAGACGACCTGGCCCTGGGCTTGGAGCTGAGCCGCCGTGAGCAGCAGCAGTCTGTCACCTCCAGGTCAGGGGCCACGCAGGTCCGGCAGACCCCTGTGTCACGACCCCCCGACGGCAGCCTCTCTGAGGAGGATGAGGACCTGCAGCTTGCCATGGCTTACAGCCTGTCAGAGATGGAGGCAGCTGGGAAGAAACCGGCAGGTGGGCGGGGGGCACAGCGACGACGGCAGGGGCAGCCCAAGGCCCAGAACCACGATCCAGGCGTGCGGGAGCCCCATGAGGGTGCAAGGGGTGACACAGCCAAACCCAGCCCCTCTCCAGAGGAGAAGGCCGCTCGCTGCCTCATCCTCTGATCATCAGGCCCAGCCCACCCGATTCAGGGGGACCAGGAGTCCTGGTCAGAGAAGGGCATGGCCTGAGTTGCAGGAGCCCCTCTCCACCTCGGCGCTCCCTCCCAGGTCCACCCCTCCCTCCAGCGTGGATTTGCTGTGCTCAGCCCACAGCTGATAGGTCCCTGGTGAAGTCCAGGGTGGGGGGACCTCAGGGCAGCGGGAGGGCCTGAGGAGCCAGGATGAACTTAATTCTAATTAGACGGGGGAGTTTCTAAGGGGCATTAGTGGCTTGGGTCCAGCCTTTCACACCCAGGCCTTCTGCCACCTGTGTTGCTGAATGATGTCAAGGAAGGAGGACTTGGCCTGAGGTTCTCTGAGCCAGAGTGGGCAGCCACAGCTCTCCTGGTCGGCTGCAGACACCCCCACCCCGGTTTCCGCGCAGTGTTGAGCTCTGACGTCTGTCGCTTCCCTCCTGGTGCTGCTGCTCCTCCCTCGCACTCTTCTCTCTGCAATTCCCCACGGGCTACATCGCTTGCTTTCACTGCCTCCTGCCTGGCTGGGACTCCCTTCTTCCTTTTCCCCAGAAGGCCTCTTTGTGGCGAGGAAGATGCCATGGCCCGCAGGGCCATAAGGTCTTCCGGGGAGGCTAGCTGGGTGGGGCGGGAGCCTCTCGGCCCGTCCAGATTCAGAACCGGAGCCTACTCCTCCTCCCTTCCTCTTGCTGCCTCAGCCTGCCCCCAGCCTCCGGACTAGCCAGAGGTGAGGCCGGCTAACCCTGGAGAGGGGGGATAGGGCCAGGGTGCCCCAGGAGGGAGGCCTAGGAGGGACCACACCCCGTCCTCCCGCACCACGCATCAGGGCTTGGGGAGAGGCCACAGGGCTAGCCCAGGGCTGCATGCCTAGCTCTGCCCTCCACGGCTTGCGGCTGATCCTCTCTCCTGTCACCCCACCCCCGCTCTCTCCCCAGATGTGTTCTGAGCTGGATGTCCGGGACCCAGAGTTGCTGTACAGTTCCAACAGGACAGCGCCCAACCCTGTGCACTGGGAGGGGACCCTCCATCCCTCTCCCTCACCCGTGCTGAGAATAGAGCCGGGCCTGGGCGGTGGGCGGGGGCCGGGTGGGAGGTAGGCTTAGCCTGTAAACGCTCCCCAGGGTGTTTGGTGTTGTTTCCTGGGGACTACAAGTCCCAGAATGCAACGCACCTCGCCTCCTTTCTGTTAGCTCATGCTTGGGGGAAGTGATGCGCAGTTTACGGAGCTGTGCATCTTGGGATATGTAGTTCCAGCTCTGGTCGGCCTGTTAACTCATGAGATGGGGACATTTTGTCATTTGATTTGTCCCTGGCAGGGGTGGCAAGAATGTGGATGAAGGGGGAATGGGCTGAGCTTCGTTTCCCCTGATACCTCTTGCTAGCGCTGGGGTTAGAGTGTACAAATCAAGGCCCCGAGGCATCTGGGAGAGGTTCTTTTCCTGTGGGCAGTCCTAGGGTCTGAGAATGATCCAGGGCGGATTGGCTGAGCAGGGTGTGGTCTCAAGGGGGCTGATGGGCATGGGTTGGTGAGAGCTTGGAAGGTGGAAGGCCACCCTAGTGCTCAGGGGTGTGTGTGTGTGTGTGTGTGTGTGTGTGTGTGTGTGTGTGACTGGAATCAGCGTGTGATGGGTGCTCCAGGCATGCTGCTGCTTGTGTGGCTCCTTTGGCCTCTGACCCTGCTGCCCATTCTTTCTCTCCAACACCACAGAAGCTGCCTCTCCTCCTCCCTCCCTGGGGAGCCCGGTGGCCGGGGAGGGAAGTGGTGGAGCCGGGGTGTTGCCCGCCCCTGCGCTGTTGAGTCTCAGTGACCTATCAAAGCCAGCTGGGCTGAGCTCAGATCAAGAGGGAAACACTGGAAGTCAATAAAGCTGAGTTTCGAGAGCTTGGTGGTGTGCTGCGTCCTCTGTGCTTCCTTCCCGCCCACCAACCCTGTGGGGCCAGCGGGTGACACACCTCCCTTTATTTCTCAGGCATCCGGAGGTCACACGCCTTCCCAGCTGACAGCAGAAGCCCCCTCTCTGACCAGGCGGCCCTCCCCTAATATGGTGTGGAATCCCGGGCCGTGCGCACATGCCTCACCTCTGGGGGCCCCACAGCGGGCTTTCACAGGCAGCTATTGTTCTCCGAATGCAGGACCCCACCACCCAACTACTGCAGGGTCTGCAAGCACAGCTAGGACCAGATCTGACTGGACTGAAAGCTGAGACCAACAGAAAGCCAGGATCACGTGGTGAAACACCTCTAAAAACCTCTTCCCGAGAACCAGAGACTCAGCACCCCCTCCACAGGTCCTCTTAGCTTATGGCTAGCATCCAGTGGCAGAAGCCTGCCTCTCTCACATGGAGTGGCGTAAGTGTGCCCCACACAGAGTCCAGGGTCCAGGGAGGTGAAAACTAGGTACCTCCCCCATCCTGTCTCTCCAGACCTGCAGAGATGCCCTCCCAGCCACAGGACAAGCACTTTTCCATCCTCATGCAGGGCAGTGTGGCTCGCCTCCAACTCTCTCTTCCATTTGGGGGTAAGCACTGGGCTTCAACTTCACTGGCCAAAGGACCTATTTGTATTTTTCCTCAATACAAGGAAGCAGCATGCCCTGAAAGGAATTACAAGCCTCCGTCTTGAGAGAGAGAATCCGTTGGAAGTTTTTGCCTGCTTCCAGCCTTTGAGATGACCAACAGTGGTGTTGAGCAGCAGTAGAGCACAGGTGAGGGGTGGGGGGCCAGAGGTCCACTCACTGTCCCTTTGCTCTCTGAGCAGGACAGGTGGTACTCACCCATCTTTCATGTGGGGGCCTGAGCCTTGGGCTTCCCTGGAGGCTCAGATGGTAAAGAATCTTGCCTGCAATGCAAGAGACATGGGTTTGATCCCTGGGTCAGGAAGATCCCCTGGAGAAGGAAATGGCAACCCACTCCAGTATTCTTGCCTGGAAAATTCCATGAACAGAGGAGCCTGGTGGGCTACAGTCCATGGGGTCGCAAAGAGGCAGAAAGGACTGAGTGACCAACACTTTCACTTTCTGAGCCTTGGCAGTTCAGTTCAGTTCAGTCGCTCAGTCGTGTCCGACTCTTCGCGACCCCATGAATCTCAGCACGCCAGGCCTCCCTGTCCATCACCAGCTCCCGGAGTTTACTCAAACTCATGTCCATTGAGTCGGTGATGCCATCCAGCCATCTCATCCTCTGTCGTCCCCTTCTCCTCCCACCCCCAATCCCTCCTAGCATCAGGGTCTTCTCCAATGAGTCAGCTATTCGCATGAGGTGGCCAAAGTATTGGAGTTTCGCACGGTGACCCTAATTAATTCCTGAGTAGCTCCAGGCTCAAGGCTCTTTCTGCCTCATTTCTATGTGTACCACTGTTGTCCCAGGACGCCACATGATGCGTGGATGGAGTCTCCTCTGAGGCCACACAGGGTGGGGGCATTCTGGGGGAGTGGAGAGAAAGTGCCTTTTGCCCCCAGGTGAATGAATGTTGTGACATCTCACGGGCCTGGTCTGTGAGTCGTTACCAGAGTTTAGCTACTTCTGCTGAAGGTGTGGCGAGCACTTGGCCTGTATCACCTCGTTTAGTCCTAACTTCCATCCTGCGTGACGTATATTATTCTTGAGGCCGAAGGGTGCGAAGCTGCTGCCCGAGAACTAAGAGGAGATGCAGCAAAGAGGCCAAACATGTCTGTGTTGGAATCCCAACTCACTTAACTAGTCGTGGTACCTCAGGCAAGTTCTGTGCAGTCTCTCTGTCTGTAAAATGGGGCTAATAACTGGTAGCGAGTCCTGATGATTAAACCAGTTAATGGTTGTCAAGCACCTTGGAGACTATCAGACTCATAGGAAGTGCAGCATAAAAAACTACTGCCCGATTGTCATTTGCTCCCATGGACGCCTTGGAGAGCCTGACTCCACTGCTCGGCTCTCCCATAATTGTCTGCATCTCCTGAGAAATGCAGCAGGGCCCGCTCCAGGCTGAGGCTGGGGCTGGAGCCTGGAAGCAGAGCAGAGAAACGCGTAGGAGGTCTGGTTGCAGCTGCACACACACACACTAACTTTATTCACATTGATACAAAAGTAGATTTTTCCAGAAATGTTCTCTTGTGCCAGGGGGAGCGAGTTGAGTGGCACGTGGCGGAAGGGTGAGGGGAGGGGGCAGAAGGGGCAAGGGCCACAGTGTGAGTCGTGGAGGCAGGACAGCGGGCAGCAGGGGCTAGGAGAGCAGGACAGTCTGGGCATGGTGGCCCCTCTGCCCCATTCTAGCCCCACTGGAGGGCGGAGGGCGTCCACACAGACATATTAGGAGCATCCAGAGTGGCGGAAAATGGGGGTCAGGGAACTTGGACAGGAGGAGACTGTGGGTAGAATTTGGTGCTCATGACTTTCCTTCTGACCGGCTGCCAGCTCCCCCAGGGGACACCCGGGGTTCCTGTATGCCCCCTCTGGCTTCCCCTTCCTTACACACTCCTCTTGGAAGGGCCTGACATGCCCAGGAGGGGCCGAGGTGGCGGGAGTGGCGGTGAGAGCGAGTGCGCAGATAGATGCTCACACAGGCAAGGAGGGAGTGGAGGCCGGGCTGCCCACCGAGGGGCCCCAGGGATCTCACTGGGGCAAGGCCTTGAGGATGGCATTTACCTCCTCCGCCACAGCTGTCAGGGCAAACTCAAACTGGTCCTGGGGAAGGGCAGAGGGAGGAGGGTCATGGGGAGGCCCGGCCTCTGCTCCTGCCCTGGGATGGGGGCAGCTTTGGGGCGGCCACTTGGGGGAGAAGAAGGGAGCCCTCCTGGGGGAGATTTGGAGGCAGGCAGGAGAGGCAGGCCGCTGCCACTTTCCCTGGGGAAAGGTCGTGGCTAGGGTGGGTGTAGAGAGAAACAGTCACCTTCGAGCGAACAAGGCCAGGCCGCTGGTCACGGACATGCTCCAGGGTGGCAGCGATGTCAATCTCCTTCACTCCTGGCGGGGAGGGGTGTGGGGACACAGAGATGCTTAGAGGGTGTCCAGAGGA